GGAACAAGACGACTGACTAGAGACTTTGGAGTTAAATAAGTGTTTTTACTTTCAAGTGTCATAGTGCCAGACTTGTAACTCAAGCTAACAGCAGAATATACAGAGGATATTCAATACAGAGAAACTCAAGCACCTGAAAATTATCAGCCAGCACTGTACAGCCAGGGAATTCTTCTTACAAGGTTTAACCCCTGTACAAATGTTTGCGACACACTGAAAAACGCATTTTGGTCAACAAGAATACAGTTACACAGGTCTAACAATTACAGACGCAGGTTCTCCATTTAAACCTGGTCAGCATCTCTCTCTGCTTCTCAGAGGAAAGCCTCTCACTGAGTACTATCCAGATGAAAAGGGAGCATTAACGTGCCAACTTCAATATGTATTTAATAACTCAGCACAGATTTGAGACATGGCCATTTAATGTTTGAATAAGCTCTGAATCTGTGTCAAGAGAGAAACTAACAGAACTCCAACAAGATATTGATGACCTGCAACTTACTGAAATAATTTAACACATTTACAAGAAGAACAGTTAAGGTATGGCTAAGAGCTGTACATTCCACTTGAAGCTCAGACATTATGACCAGCATTTCCAGTATGCTCATTCCTTCTTCCGCTACTACCCATTGATGCGGTAATTCACATGGATTTCAGGTTTGATGTCACATACTAGTGACAACAGCTGGGAGAGGACCACCTCGCGGTTCTTCTGGAAGTTCTGCTGGATCACGCTCATCTTCTCCTGGGTCTCTTTCTCAACTTCAGTGGTGCAGCTGCCATGAGATCCAAGTGCCTACAAAGAGCAAAGGAAAGAGAAAGCTCACGTGCAAGTAGTTTGACAAAGAAAACGCTATGCCTACCTCTGGATTTTGTTATTCTGGACTGCCACACTGCATCTCGCCCATTAATCTTTGCTGCGGAAGAACTGCACTAAAAAAAAAGTACCATTGGATTCTCTGCTCAGACTTGCCGCTAAACTTGCCCAAGTTTGTATTTCACCCACAGCCTGTGCCTTTTATTCTCTCTTATTCATTATTTATCAGTTTAGAGTGTAGCCTTCTAAAGAATGCCTGAGAAAAAGGTCCTGCTGCACTGGCGACTGGAACTGGGAATCCCTGGGCACTACTGTACTAGATAGTGTTAGAGAAGTTGACACCCATGATTTAGTTCAAACACAGTCTTCACATCATCCCGTTGCTTCTGCCCTTGGATAATCTTCATACAAATCTCTGCCTTCCTAACAGGACTGTGGGCCACGTGATACGCACAGCAAGGAGTCTCTCACAGCTCACAACGTCCTTCTTGCCCCATAAGCACGGGCAGGGAGAGCAAACGCCCATTGTAAGTGTGGGGAAAAGGCTCAGAAGAAGTATGCTGAAGGAGACTAGCCCTCTGGGACTCAAATTCAAAGAGCTTCTCTCTCTGGAGAAGGATAAATGAAACAGAAGCAGCTGACAGGCAGTGAAGTCCACTTTACTAGCCTGGAATTGGCTGGTACCATCTGCCTTGTGAACCAAGCTAACAAGTGACTGTAAAACATTAATCTTGACCTACTGACATTATTATGCAGGAGACCAGAGGAGGTGGCAGTCTGCTAACCAGAAGATGGACAGAGGAGAGCGTTGCCAGGTCATTTTCTGAAGTTTTCAGAACTGGCAGGGGCACACAGGGACTGGAAACATCCTGACTGTGCTACAGCCCTCGGGTGGTGAAGGGCCCCAGTTCTGCGCCTGTTGGGAATACCTCCTCTTGCTCAGAAGGAAAGGAAAACGCACCCCTTGGGACACAGCAGGCAATACTGCTAAGCAGAATACAAGCCTTACAACTGCTTCAGCAAGAGAGCAGCAACTACGAGGCAAGTGGTTTTACCACTTCAGCATCATAGAAACCAGCTTGTCACAGGAGGAATGAGCTTCGTCTTTTTTTGACACTGCTACAAACAGCAGGTCTGGGGAGGCTGCCACTCATCAGGGCACCAGCCTGTACATGAGCTTATTAAGCTAATTCACTGCCAGTCAATCATTCTGGCTGTTGAGGTGCAATACACCATGTTCTGATTCACTTCCACTGTTTTTTCCATGACACGTGGCTATGCATCAGAGGCAGGCAGTTAGGGAAGTACTCCCCAGCATCACGTTCCACCACGGGGGCTGCTCTCGGGGCAAGTAACCCCAAACGCAAGGCTAAGGGGCTGGGTAGGTAACAGTGAACAATGTAGAAAACAAACCGCTGCTTCCTTGGCTTTGAACTCCTTCTCCCTCTGCAGGCGGTACTGCTCAATCTCTGCCTGGGCCTCTTCTTTTGCCTGCTTCAGCCTCCGATTCTTCCCTGTTTCCAAAGAACATACCAAATGAAATAAAGAGGAGAAAGTATTGAGAGTGTATTTCCCCACACCCGATGCACAACAATCGCTGTAGCATTTGCTACTGCAGCAGCCCCTTCTGTAGGAGGCATCAGCAGGGCACCGCACACCCTCACAGCCCCCCAGCTTTGCCAGCCTCAGGAGCAGGAGGTCACTCTGCGTGCCACCAAACCATTGCCAAGCCCTCCACGCAATGAGCTTCCACCAGTGAGAAACGGAGAGGTTCTGAGCCAGTGGATGCATTAGACAACCTGCAAGTCCGGCCTTGCTCATGTGAGCGTGCAACATCCCCCAGTGATCCCAAAGAGCACAGCACAAAGAATATTAAGTCTTCATTTTGTCTCAGGTAAATTGTGCAACTGATAGAAAAACCAGCTACTGCATCAACTTCCCCTCTTGGGCTTTCCACCACACCCTCCCCTCCAAGGTTATCATCCTCAGAGCGAGCTACAACAATCTACTTCTCACAAAACTGTCAGGGGGTAGAACTGCAACACAGTGCAGCTCCATTTAAAAAAAAAAAAATGCTTGAAGCAGGAAAAATTTGTAAAGGTGGGGATCTTTGCAACCAGAATTTCTCTCGCTTAACAGGAAAAGCTAAGGAAAAGCTTAACAGGAGCTCCTTGGCTCCCCAAGGACTAGCTCTCTCAGCTCTACAAAACCCCTAATCACCAACATGGAAATACACTGTTTTTATCAAGAAGAAAAAAAAAAATAAAAGTAGGAAAGCTGCAGATAAGCACGAGCATCCCCCAAACGAAGACCCTGCTGCCACGAAGGACGGCTTTCTGATGGCGGTCCCCTCCCCGGGAGGGCTCCCACCGGCCCAGGGGTCACCGAGCTCCTCCCAGACCCCGGCAGGCCTCTCCGCCTGCTGGAAGAAAGGCTGCCCGCTGCTGCCAGGGCACAGCCCACTTCGGTTTCGATACGTTCACCCAGGGTACCGGAGGAGCAGACCAACGCCGCGCTCCCAAGGAGCTCCCGCCCTCACCGCCGGCCCGGGCAGCCCTGGGGCCCCGCTCCCACCGGCGGCCACAGCGGCCCCCAGACCCCGCCCCCCCGCCCCCCCCGCTGCCCGGCGGGCCC